GGGGGGATAGTCTGGACGCGCGGGTGGCGACATCAAAGGTATTTGTCGACCACCCAGGTAAACCTCATCCCAGGAGGCATACCTGGGTGGTCGACAAATACCTTTGATGTCGACACCCGCGCGTCCAGACTATCGCGCTGAGCCAACAAACAGCTGATCAGCTGTTTGTTGGCTCAACGCAGCAGCCATGTAAATTTAAATGAAGCGGCCATTATTTAAATCGCCGCTTCATTTTACTATATCTGGTAGCCTAATCTACATGCCTCTGATGACAGAGGCATGTAGTCTAGACGTACCCCTAGTAGCTATATTGGTAGGGAACCCTAGGACTGAGGACTGAAAAACTGCAGAATGACTACAGGACTGGGGGGGTGGGGGAGGAGGGAAAGGGGGGGAGAATCAGCAGAACCACCATAGGACTGAAAAAAAAAGCGTCTCCATCCTACTGTGTTTTACAGGTTGCTGGACCATATAACTTACACTAAGAAAATTTATTAGGAGCTTTGATAATTTTGCAACATGCCTACCAGAACTTCCCAGGGAATCAGACTTTAAAAGGGAAATGCTACATCCTTAAAAATATATCCCCCTCCTTGGATCTATAGCACAGAGGCAGTAAAAAATGCTTTGAAGATACTACATGTTAAGGTTTTGTTGATTTTTTTAAATAAATTTATTTCAAAAGAGATGATCAAGAGCTTATTAAATTGCTGCTGAAAGAAAATATGGGTTCTTGTGGAACAGGAAAAAGTTTGAGTCCAGGAAACATAGGAAAAAGTAATTTAAAAATTAGTTTAAACAAAATAGTAAGGAAAAATAATCTACTTTCTTTCATCCTTACACTGCTAAAGTATTTTTATCGTTAAAAGATATATTGCATATAATGAAAAAAGTCATTCTAAAATCACTGCAGGAAATGAAATGTAAATGTCATATTAAAAAATAACATTAAAACCACCCAGATTGTTGTTTTGTGGTTCATTAATACATATCTCAAATAATACGTGTCTCAAGATTGAGGATGTTAGTGTATAGTCGTTTAACTGATAAGCCTAATCTTATCAGTTAATCCAAACGATTATGCACACTCCCCCCTCTTGCTGCCTCTGTATCTGAGGGAGCAAGGAGGTGCGGGGGAGGTGGGAGCCGGTGCCTGTGAAGAGCCAGCTTTTAAGCTGGCTCCTCATGGGCTCCGGATCCTGAAGATCTGCCTGCTTCCCCCAACCCTGTGCTGCTGCCTCTGGCAGAGAGGCAGTAGTGCAGAGGGTAAGGGGGCAGGTGGGAGCTGCCTCCCTTTCCCTGTGCTGCTGCCACTGTTTCAGAGGCAGCAGTGCAGAAGCTGGAAGGGGAGAAAGGGACAGATGGGATTACGGTGCAACCTCTGTCCACAGGGAGCTCAAGCCCCCGGTGGACAAGGGCTGCTCCATGGGAGGGCCTGGGCCCCTAGCGGACAGAGGCTGCTGCCTGCCTGCACTGCTGCCTCTGGATCTGCTGCCGGCCTTGCCCCAGGAACCATCAAATAATTGTGTAACTGACAAGTTTTGGTTTGGTTACATGATTATTAAACTAAATGACATCTAACATCCCTACTGAAAATATATTACCTTACTATCCACAGCTTTTCATCTCATGGTATTCTTGTTTCTTTTTCTTAAATTCAGAACAAATTACTACCCCATGTTAAGTTTAAACTTTACAAGAGCAGATTTTCCTAACTTCATTCTGTTCTTAACCTACCCTATACCTTATTATAAGGCCTAATCCAAAGCTCATTGAAGTAATTGGAAATAGTCTAATGGACTTCACTGGGCTTTGGATGTGACAGTCTTTTTCTTCATTACTTTATTATTACAGCTGTTCAGGGGCAATTCTCTTTTGCAGCAACTTTCAAGGGTTTTAAAATTTCACAGCAGCTTTTCATCCCAGATCTATCTGAATCAGACAGAGCAGGAACGTGAACTTAACCCAGGGCAGAGAGCATTTGCATCTTTCTTTCTCTCCTCACTCCAGACCCCCAACCCTCTGACAAAGTTTTAGTCAAAAAACAATATGGCTGTGTCTACACTGGCCACTTATTCCGGAAAATCAGCCGCTTTTCCGGAATAACTTGCCAGCTGTCTACACTGGCCCCTTGAATTTCTGGAAAAGCACTGATGATCTAATGTAAAATTGTCAGTATTCTTCCGGAAAAACTATGCTGCTCCCATTCGGGCAAAAGTCCTTTTCCGGAAAACTGTTCCGGAAAAGGGCCAGTGTAGACAGCACAGTAGTGTTTTCTGCAAAAAAGCCCCGATCGTGAAAATGACGATCGGGGCTTTTTTGCGGAAAAGGGCGTCTACATTGGCACAGACGTTTTTCCAGAAAAGCACTTTTCCCGGAAAAGCGTCTGTGCCAATGTAGACGCACTTTTTCCGGAAATACTTATAATGGAAAACTGTTCCGTTTTAAGCATTTCCGGAAAAGAGTGCCAGTGTAGACGTAGCCTATGTCTTCACAAATATTTTGGCTTCAATGAAACAACATATCAATGACATTTCATTCAGTTGAAAATGTTTTGATCAACTTTTACCTTTTCTTCCTTTCACTCCACACCACCTCCTCATTCACTCTCATTCATTTCACACTTACTGTTTTTTATCCACCACTCACTCTGTGATTTTCACTTTCCCACTATGTTTCCCAATCATGAACCCTATTCCTCATTTCCACTAGCTGTACAGAAGAGCTAATAGTATAAAATAAAGTAAAAGCACTACAGAGACTCTTTATACAGCAGGCTGTGAACTGGATAAGCAGATTTCTAAGTTAAGGTGAAATTTTGCTCAACAGTACACATAAGACACATATTAACACACCATTCAATGCACAATCTCATGGCATAAGCACTCAATACTGCACATCTTCATATGTGCAATGCTGAATCATTTCAAAATTCTAATGGATACTTTCTGAAGAAACAAAATGTAAAAACTAGACTAAAAACCACTTCGTGCTAAGGGGAGCAAATTCAGTCAATAGGAAAGTTGCACATTGCAAAAAAATGTAACTCTGGGTTTGTCTAGACTGCATGGCTCTGTCGCCAGAGCCATGTAGATTAGCACACAAAGCCTCCTCGTACCCTAACCCCGCCCTGTGAGGAGCACGCAGCAATTTGAAGTGCTGCATGCTCCTTGTGGGGCGGGGGTAAGGCAGAGGAAACTTTGTGCGCTCCTCCCACTCCCAGGTCAATCAGGGCCCAAGAGGCGGGGGAGCGTGTGATGGCTCCTCCAGTCCTGCAAGGAGCACGTATCACTTTGAAGTGCCACATCCCCCTCACAGGGTGGAAGTTTCGTGTGTTCCTCACCCCTAACTGGCCTAGGGGCGGGGAGCGGTAAGGCCTCCGCTGGCTGGATCAACCCGCTTGGCAGGTCGGATTCGGCCCACCGAGGCTCTTTTGCTCACCCCTGCTTTGGAAAAATATATGATTTCACTAATCTTACAGTGGCCTTTTCTTTCCTTAAAAGTTGTAGATTTTACAAGGCTTAGAAAACCTCATGCAAATAAATATTGTTATAAACATCTAACTGTAGAATTTGCAGTTTGGAACAATCCAGCTCGTTTTCAGTACAACAGCAAAACAGAATTATAGGATTTAGATTACAAGAAATATCTAACCGATCACAAAGTTTTAGATGAGTTATCTCCAACCCTTCTTTTAGATATGCAGAACAAAGACACACACAGTTACATTTAAATATTCTTTTAGAAATGGATAACATTGTTCTCCAAATTATAGCAGCAAAAAGCAACCCCTAAACCAAACTATTAAACTCATTTTTCTGAGAAACTGACCAAAATACACACAATAATACTTTATCCTTTATAGCTATATCAACCTTTCATTCTAAAGATCTCAAATCTCCTTACAAAAGTGAATATAGAGGATGAAATCGAGGGGCTGAAGAAATAAGTTAATTGTCTTGCCCCAGAAATCACTCTAAAATAAATTACTGTACCTCCTTTATAATTTGAAATTTTGCATGAACTTCTTCTTCAACACCTCTTATCTTAGTCAAAGCAGCTTCATGTCTGAAAAGCAATGCTTCTCTTTCAGCTAAAAAATGTTCTCGTTTCTGAAGTTGCAGAGCATACTCCTGCTGTGCTGAATTTTCTTGCTGTCAGAAAATATGAACAATTTTTAAAAAATTATAAAAAATACACTTAATTGAAATACAGTCATTTTGTTAGGGATACCTTCAATTTTACAGAGGTGTATATAACCAAATGCACTCATACTCAGTGAACCATAAAATGCTATACATAAAATGATGCACTGGGACACAATGCTGAAAGTCAACTACTTTCAGTACCTCATCGTAGTGATCTGACTGACTCCCATCACGGATTGGTTTCTGCATAATCAGGTCACTTCTACTAAGCACCCAGGATTTAGGAGCTTAATTTTAGGCACCTAAATCTGAAATTTCTGGTTAATACTAAAAGTTTCAGAGGGCTAGCCATGTAAATATGTAACTTTAAAAACAGTAAGTAGTACTGTGGCGAGAGAGAGAGAGAGAGACGGACAGACACACACACAATCATGAGCGTTTGTGGGCAAAACTCAGTTCTTCAGATGAGCTGATCTTGAGTGGAGCTACTTAACAGTGGTTAATACTAGTTACTGTAATGCTTTGCCTTTTATCTGATGATTTCAAGTCCCCTATCAATTTATAAGACAACACTGTCTCAGACAATCTGCTACAGTCTCATGCAACACATTGGCTTATATTATGCTGCAGAATGATATGAATAGCAACTTAAAAAAATTAACAATATGCAATTGTCCAGGGAAGAACATTAAGAAGGAAAGTAGAGTGCCACAGATTTAATACATTAGAAGTTTTTGAATATTCAATAAGTGCACTCATACTCAGTGAGTTTCTGAGGAAAATAATCTAATAATATTCTAAAATCATTTCCAATTCCTACCTGCAGTTTTTGATGTATGACATATAGTTCATCATATATCTGGTTGATGGCAGATGGTATTAATCTTTGACCACTCAATACCTCAGTTTCAGGCTTGCTTGCAGTCTTCCTAACCAGACCACTACTGATATCATGATCACTACATGTTACTGTGTTTGCAGCCAAACTGGATGGTAAGGTGACATCTAATAAATAAAAAAAAACATTTTATAAATTTTATTCTTTGCTTATACTAATATATTACATGACCATTTATTGTTAAACAAAACACAAACACATTTTAAGCTTTTGCGATTGAATAGCAGTGCATTAGGCACCAAAGTGAACAGTTAGTCTGAGTATCTTCTAAGGCACTCAGGATATATGTTCCAAATCTTTATAATCTATTTCAAGCGTGTGCAAAATACGGCCTGTGAGCTAGATTCAGCTGGCCCAGCTAATTAGCTGAGCATGTATGCTTACAGACAACAGCACCAGTGTGGTGGTGGTGTGTTCAGCTGTCCCTCCCTCATCTTGCTCAGTCCTGCAGCTGAGCTGCTCCCAGGACCATCGTGCTAGAGCTGTGCAGAGGGGTGGGATGGGGACTATGAGATGAGTATGCTAATGTCAAGGTATCCCCCAGCCCATGTACCCCATCTCTGCAGAGCAGGGATAAGAGAGAGGGACACACAGGAAAGTTGCTCCAATTGGATGTATGAATGGTGACCGAGAGCAGTGTTTCTCAAAGAGGTAGTTCATTGTTCCTAAGATTTCTCCAGCAGCTCGCTCGCTCTCTCTCTCTCTGTCTCTGGGAGCAACCCCCCCTTCAGTCTTTGGGCCACACACATGCACACGCTTCCCCTGAATCTGTGCCACACACATGCAGTCACTGTACACACACTCTTCCAGTCTTTGTACCATACAGTCACACACATATAATCTGTGTCACATATACACACAGTTTCTCTCTAGCCCCACTGCTCCGCCCCTTCCACCTGAGGTCCAGCCCTTAACAACTTCCCAAAATTCATGGAGCAGCCTCATAGCAAACATGATTGCACACCCCAATCTATTTTCTGTTATTTGTTTTCCCCATTGTTATTAGTTTTCTGAGCAATGTTGTTTTATAAATAACGCCTTCAGCCTACATGGAGAAATCCAACAGATATCATTAGGGCTACGATTACAGTGCAACACTATTTCAGGATACTGGAGTATCCCGTTATTTCGGGCTCGCTATTCCAACTTTCCCGTAAACTGTATTCCATGAGGAGTAAGGGACATTTCAGAATAGTGGGTTATTTGGTGCTGTGTAGACAGCGCCAAATTACAAAATAAGCTATATCAAAATAAGATATGCAATTTGTGTAGCTATAATTTGCATAGCTTATTTCGAACTACAGTGAAGTATAGACGTAGCCTAGGAGATCTGTGCACAGGTTGGATGCACAACATAGCTATTAAGTGCTAACTATTTCTCAGTGTTTTGATTGGTTCTATTGGTGATAAGGGGGCAATGAGAAGAAACATTATGAGAGATGTTTTATGAAGTCAAATAATGCCTGCGAACGCTTATTTAATCAGACCACCTAGTCTGAAAGTTGAAAAAGTTTCATTTTATACACTTGGAAGTACTATTTTATATGGCTGGGTTTCTGTTTTTCTCTATTGAGCTATAATAATCAATAATCAGAACTGCTTGTCAGAGACTTAAAAAGATCAATCTTTTAGAAAAAACATTTCTTGTCATAACTGTATTATTTATATATAGACTAGATCTACTAAAACATTACATCTCAAAACTAAAATACAGTTTGCTCAATTACAGGTTTTATTAATTGGATTATGAATAAGATTCAGTTGAAACTTTGAAAAGTTGAGGTTGAATGTAATATTTTTCTGATTACCTGTTTCTGTATATGTGTACATGATTGCATTCTGAATTGCATTAGTTGCAGAAACATCCACTGTGACCTCTTCTTCTAGTTCTAGCTGACTTGAATCACTGAGCAAATCCAGCTCATCATCAAAGCTAAAAAATACAAATGGATGGATGACACTAATGTGAAATTATACAGTGCCATTTTAAAATGTTATGCATGTAGAATAAAGATTTGCACAAATACAAATGTTTCTCACTCTAACATATGTACATTTGACTGACTGAAAAGAGATAACACTAATTTGCAAAGTACTTTGAACTCCTTTACAAATGAAAAGCACATATAAAATACATTGAACATTGAAACTGATGACTTAATAAAACACGTGGCACAAATACACAATTTCATACATAAATCCTTACTTGCATGCAACAACTAAAACACTTTTGAAACAGAGCAAAGCACAAACAGAATATCTAGAGAAGAAAATAAAAAGTGTGATACACGTTCTCTCTCAACTTGCTGCACTGGGGTAATAAGAACATCTCTCTGTAGTCTTCTAAAACAATTTCTTTTTAAATCGGGGGGGGGGCAATACTTTTGATGGGGGGCCACTCCAAGAATTAAGTAGTGGTCAAGGGCTACACTCTTCCATGATATTAATGGAGGAAGTGCAGGGTCTGGGATGGAGGTTTGGTGCAGAAGGAAGCTTGGGGTAAGAGGTTGTGGTGCAGGAGTATGTGTGGAATCTGTAAGGGGGTATGGGTGCAAGAGAGGTTTCTGACCTGGAAGAGGGATGTAAAAGGAGAAGTTGTGACCTGGAGAAGGGGCGTAGGAGGGAATTGTGACCTGGGGCAAGAGTGAAGGAGAGGATGCAGGGATTTGGGTTGTGACCCGGAGGAGGGGTATGTGGAGTGTGTGTGTGTGTGCAGGGTCTGGGAAGAGCAAGCATGCAGAGGGGTTGGGTGCAAAACTGAGGGCAGAAGGTTGGGGGATGGATGGGCTCGGGTGCCAGAGGCAGGGCCTGACTAGGAGGCACTTACCTAGGCAGCTCCCAGCCAGCAGCCCTGCCTAGCAGGTTCCTCAGCCAAACAGGCTGCTCTGATGGCTGAGTGCCTAGGGGTAGGAGTTATTCATGCACTGCCTGTTCTGCAAATAGGAAGCTCCCACTGGCTGCAAGATTATGCTGGGAGTGGGGTAGAGTGTGAAGCCTCTCCACTTCTCTCCTCAGTCCCACCCTGGTTTACGACATTCAGAGAGCTACTCTGAGCAGAAGATGGAGATGAGTCAGGAAAGGAGCCGGGTTGAAGCTCCCACTGTGCCCATAGGCCAGATCCAGCATCTCTGCAGGCTGGACCCAGCCTATGGGCCATATTTTGCCCACCCCATTCCAAATACATTTAATACTATCCAGTCAACTCTGGCTATTTTCCTTCCTCCTCACTTGTTTACTCCCTTATATCGCTCAATCCCTGTATCCCACTAGCTGAGCCAAGCACATATAGTTATCTCAAGTAAGTGGGTGAGCTTCCTTATCCAAAATGAGTATTTACATTATTATGCGAGTCAGACAGGAGCTAATCTTTAGTGACCACGAAAACATGTATATATAAAAAAATTATGAAAGCTATGCCTTGCACTTGGCAACCTGCTGTTGGCTCGGCTTGAAAATCCTACATAATGTGTTAAGGATTAACTCATTATTTGTTTGGAATTTGTGGAAGAAATGCGAGGAAGGAAAAGGAGTCCAAAGGTAGATGAGGGAAGGAGGGCACAGCTCTTACCAATCCAAATTTTTGAAACTCCTGAACAAGTCATTAAGAGGTTTGCTATAGTGCTTACTTCCACTCTGGGTACTTTTTGATTGTGAAGCATTTATGGACAAAGGCATAACTGTATTATCTGATGAACTGTCCAAATTACCTATAAAATAATTCAAATATTAAATATTTCATTTTCCCATTCAAAAGCACAAGTTAAAAATGATTTAATATATATGTACTCTGTAAGGCTTATTGCTAAGAACAAAATCCTGAATCATAACACATTAGACCAAGCTCTGACAAGTAAGGAATTAAAATTAGTGATACAAAATATTAGATATATTTATTTTAATAATACTTTAAAAACTGAAAAGTTTCAGAGATTACTCAAACTAATTAAGTCCTAAAAAAATCCTTAAAAATTAAACTTGATAAAAAGTTCTATGTAAGCTCAAAAGCACCCCGATATCTACATATGGCCAGGTCAGTCCTGCTCCCTGCAAGCCGATTCATTCCCCGCCCCGTGTTCTCCCCGCTGCGCCTCTGGCCAGCCCCACTTCCCCCAACCCCCTCCCAGGCAGCCAGTTCTCCCCCGCTTCTCCTCCCAATCTCCCTTGGCCAGCCCTGCTGTCCACGTCCAGCCTTCCTTCTGGCGGCCACTTCTCTCTCTCTCCCCCCACATCCCATCTTCCCCGGCCAGCTCCCTGCTCCCAACCTTGCGTCCCCCAGCAGCCCTGCTTCCACCGGCCCCCCAAATTCCCCAGCCCTCCCCAATTCCCCCGTCCAGTGCTGCTTCCGGTGGCCGGCTCTCCCCTCCGCTTCCTCCCCTAACTAGGACTCTGCTAGGAGCCGGAACATCCGGCTGCAGACTCCGCCCAGGCCGGCAGAGGGCTTGTGGGACCCGGCGCCACATGGGCACTCTGGGAGCGCAGAACACCCCGGCAACCACTCTGAGGCCCGGTAGTGTTTTCCTGCGGCCCGGTAGCGGGCCGCAGCCCATAGTTTGGAAAATGCTGCTTTATGGTATAGCTATAAAAGCAACATATTGATACATAGCAAGGTAATATTCACTACCCATCTCAAAGATCTCCACACAAATCAACCCCCTCAAAACAAAACACATACTCTATTTCACACAATCCAACTGACCCGTTCTCATTTATGTGCCAAGAATAACAAAATGCTTCTCTCTGACACCTCCTCAAACATATATAACAAGATTGTCATAGATATACGATACACTTACCAGGAGTGGGGTGTGCATGTAGTTAATTTTTATTCTATGGATGAAAGTAAGACTGTAGTGCAGTACTAGGGCCACTTATATTCACCCTTGCTCTCCCCCAAAACATTATGGTTACGTCTAGACTGGCCCCTAATTCCAGAAAAGTCATGCACAGCAGGTAAGTCAGAATAGGGAAATCCGCAGGGGATTTAAATAAACATGTCCGCCGCTTTTTTCCCGGCTTGGGGAAAAGCCGGAAAAAAGCGTCTAGACTTTCAAGTAGGAATAAGAGATCTTCCGGAAAAGGGCTTTATTCCGGAGGATCGCGCCAGTCTAGACTCTTTTTTCCGGCTTTTCCCCAAGCCGGAAAAAAGTGGCGGACATGTTTATTTAAATCCCGCGGGGGATATTTAAATCCCCCGCGGATTTCCCTATTCTGACTTACCTGCTGTGCATGACTTTTCCGGAATTAGGGGCCAGTCTAGACGTAGCCTATTGGTAGTAGTGTTCTCCTTTAACATCCAGCTACTGGAGCTCTTTAGACACTGTGAGAGCAATACAGGCAGTCCCCGGGTTACGTATGAGATAGGGACTGTAGGTTTGTTCTTAAGTTGAATCTGTATGTAAGTCGATATTCTGACTTACCTGCTGTGCATGACTTTTCCGGAATTAGGGGCCAGTCTAGACGTAGCCTATTGGTAGTAGTGTTCTCCTTTAACATCCAGCTACTGGAGCTCTTTAGACACTGTGAGAGCAATACAGGCAGTCCCCGGGTTACGTATGAGATAGGGACTGTAGGTTTGTTCTTAAGTTGAATCTGTATGTAAGTCGAAACTGGCGTCAGCCGCTGCTGAAACTGATCAGTTTCAACCGCGGCTGAATCTGGATGCCAGTTCTGACTTACGTACAGATTCAACTTAAAAA